AGGTGGTAAAAGGAGAAGAAAACGTATGGAACACATGTGCACAAATTAAACTGGCCAATTTATAAGACATGATCTACTAGTTCACAAAAAGAAAATCTGAGTAGGTTTACATGAATTAAAGAAATCCAGTCACTAATGACTTTCCAGGACAGAAAGCCCAGACTCAGGAGAGTTCAGTGATGATATCTACAGAATTTTAGGAAGATGTTATACCAATTCTCTGCAATCACTTTTAGAAGACAGGTGCTGAAGACAAATACTTCATAATTCTATGATGCCAGCATTACTCTCATACTAAACCAGAAAAAGTACACACACACACACACACACACACACACACACACACACACAAATTACAGACCAGTATCTCTTATGGACATGAATGTAGAAATCCTCACCAAACAGCAAATCATATCCAACAACGTATATAAAAAATTATGTACTACATCCAAGTGGGATTATTCTGTACCTCAACCAAATAGGATAAACTGGTTTAAATGTGAAAATCAGTTGTTACAGTCCATCAGTAAGTTAAATGTGACTGTTAATCCTGCTGTGTAAGCTTCACTGAAGAAATGCCAAGCATATTAGTAAAGCGTGCTCCTGGGTGTGCGGGGCGGGTCAGGCAGGCACGGCCTCGAGCAGTGCCTAGGGCTCTGTGCCCTTTGTGTGCTGCGTGGCTGCCAGGAACTGAATGGCTTTGCTGTCATGTCCTTCTGCCGTGAGGTTTCTGCCTCAAAGCTTGCCGATCGCGAATTGAATCCTCTGAAACTGTGAACCAAATTAAACATCCCCTCCGTGAAGCTGTGTCTCGGTGGGGACGCTGACGAATACAGGAAACTGGGGCCAGGAATGGGGTCCCTGCCGTGACCGTACCTGACCATGTGGTGTGGAAGACTTTGCAAGTGGTTTGCATTTGCAAAGTGGTTTGGAAAAGTTTGGAGATGTGGCTGGAGAAGGCTTAAAATGTATTAAGCTGAGCCTGATTCTGCTCAGAGCTGAGAAGATCCCTGGTACCCCTCCCCCCCAAAAATATTATGACTTAGTAGAACAAATACAATAAAAATGATCATCAATGTAACAGACTTTTAAGTTCTTAGCCTTTGGAATTCCATTTGAACTTCTCACTTGTAAATATTTTAATTGGAGCCGGGGATTTAGCTCAGTGGTGCCACCGCCTGCCTCACAAGCACAAGGCCCCGGGTCGGATCCCAAATACCAATCAATCAATCAATCAATAAAATAAGTTAAGTGAAAATAATCAGCTACTCAAATGTGCGCAGTGTAGAAAAACTAGGAGAATAAATTCATCCAACATCAAAAGGCCTATGAATTTGTAAACTAAAAAGTAATGGAAACAGGAGTTAATCACTGGTGGATGTGAAAGCTTCACGGGAAACCACGAGTGCAGAAATGTCAGTAAATCAGAAGCCAGAAGGCGCTGTGTACCTTCTAGGGATAAGGGGATGCGGAAAGAAGAGGTCAGCACCAGCATGAGCGCTCCTGTAATGCATATGCACACACATTACTCCGTGTCTAACTGCAAGTGTACCTGTGATACTGGGGATAAAAGAATAGGTTAAAATAATGAGGGTGGAATCCGCTAAATCCAGAACGTGGGGTGTTTCACAGAGAAAAATCATAGTGCCACCCACAAATTCCTAAAAAGACAGGGGAACTATTGCACATAATAAGCTTGTGGATTATACGATTTATTTTCCAAACCGTGACACTTTCTGGAGAGAAAAGGAGCCGCATTAACATTTATGCCACATGGCAGGTGTCGGGTGGGAGCGTTCCCGAGAGCCCCGTCCAGGCGAGCTGAGCGCACGTGCCTTCCCACAGCTTCTCCTGTGTGTGTTTCCATGGGACTGATCCGGGGGGCTCCCAAGGACACATTCTGAACTTGGTCCAGATATTACATAGTCCAAACATCGTGCGATATTAAAGAATTGCCAATGTTTAAAGACTGTGCAGCTAGGTTTTATTTGAAAAATCCATTATCTATTAGAGATACAAGGGCTTACAGGGGAGATGATGTGGTATCTTTGTTTGTCTTTAAATCACCAGTTAGGGTACCAATAAACTCAATAAAAAGAAAATAAATCACCAATTAGGGTAGAGATTAAAAATGAGAGAAGCCGTTTGATGGTCGCACATGCCTATGTTCCCAGCTACTTGGAAGGCGGAGGCAGCAGAATGAGAAGCTCACCAAGACCCTCTACCAAAAAAAGGAAAAAGGGCTGGGGATTTAGCTCAGTGGGGCCACCACCACCTGCCTCACAAGCAAAAGGTCCTGAGTTCAATCCCCGGCACAAAAAAAAAAAAAAAAAAAAA